GTCTTAAAAACGCCATAAAAAGTACACCGATGAATATATGACTCCGAAATTTTGTCCATATGCTTGTAATAACGTTATGTGTGAACTCTCAAATAATGGGCGTAATCGGTTTATTTCAAAGCATAACACCCATACAAACCTAACCTCAAAAAACGCCTTAAAATGGTCGTAAAAAGTGTGCCGATGAACATATCAATCCGAAATTTTGCCCAAATGTTAATAATAATATTATAACTAAACATCTAGAAAATTGGAGTAATCGGTTTATTTTAACACATATGTACCTCTCATGCGAACTTCACCGCAAAAACGCCTTAAAAGTACATACAATTTTATAATTTTTTGTTGATCAAAAGTGTGAAAGTTAGCATTTATAAAGTGTAATTTTTGTCTGCTTATATTTATTTAAACATTTGGTCGAATTCGTGTGATACATGGATCGATAACTAAATTGCTTAGAATTTTAAAAAGATCACAAGGTGTCAAAATTTTAAAAGCATATAGAATGTTACAATTTCAAATTAATCCAATATTTTTAAAGTAACATGTGTCATTTCATGATTTTTTTTTCAATTAAGGCGACGCAAAAATATTACTACTGTGTAGCTTTACGTTATATTTAACAAGGACGAAGGCCAGGCACTGTTTTTAACTATTTCCAATATAAATGCAACAATTCAAATCGTAAAACAGCAATTTCAATTTTAGAATTTTGCACAGTGAAAGTGATAATTTTACCTATTGTGCAGTGTCCGCAAACAAAGTACAGAAGCGAAGCCTGCTCTACGTCGGGAAAGTGCATTCATATACATTAGACCGTACCAGAAAAAATTAAATTTCGCCGTACACCTTCGAATCTAAATGATTTTTGCAAGGAAATTTCGAAAAAGTTTACATTTTTTGTCACCTCTTCGGCATTTACAGTTGGCTCTACAATTTCTTGTTGTTGTTTTTATTTTAGTTGCAAAGTTTGACCTCTCGTAACCCGTTCTAGTACCTACCCACCAGATCTCAGCTTTTATAACTCGAATGTAACACCCTTATGGACAGTAAATAAAGGCTCACCAAAAATCACTAAACTATTACCAAGCAAGTATTACGATTACTCCAATAGTGCTATTAAAAAAAATCCATTGCCCAATGTAGGTGGCACCACTATTATAAAATACTCTTTAAGGAGTCAAAAATGGCTCGCTTTCTTTTATCTAAATGTTTTGTATTCTGCAGTGCAATTCTGGCTGAGATAGCAGCCATTCTTTTGACGGTAGACTATATAATTTGAAATATTTTGTTTGGCACGAAAGTCTTACAAACAAAGCTCCCTTGCCAAATTTCATGGTAAAAGCACTTGAGCATTCATGTTGCAAAAGGAGAGGTATGTAGTACATATATAATTTTGCACTGACGTTCCATTCGAGAGATCCGAGGTGGAATCCTCGAGCAGCAGAACTTTTTCTTATTTTTAATTCAATGCTTTCTTATTTTTCATAAAATTTTTTTCCTGTTTTTAATATAAGTTTGCTCTAATTTTCAGATTTGATTATTTTAAAAATAAATATATTTTTTAATTCATTTAATTTTTCGATTTTTTTTTTAGTTTTTCTTTTTTTTTATAATTTTTTTCCTCATTTGATTTCTAGATTTCTGTTTTAAACATTTTTTTTAAATTTCAATTTTTAGAAGTTTAATTCTTTCCTTTCTATTTAATTTTAATTTTTAGATTTAATTGTTTTAAAAAGAAAAATTTTACATTCTTTGTTTTATAAAGACAAATATTTTTTTTTAGTTTTTAATTTCAGTTACTTTTAGGAACTCATTTTGTTATTTTTTTACATTACTTTTTTTACATATTTTAATTTTTCGAATTTATTGTTTCAAAGAGAAAAATATATATTTTTTTAATTTTATTGAATTTTTAGAACCTTTTTTCCTTTTATTAATTCATTTTATTTTTACTTTTTTTATATTACACTTTGTTTTAATTTTTAATTTTTATCGTTATAAAAATAAAAATTCTAATTTTTTATTTAATTTAATTTTTATAAAACTTTTTGCTAAGGTGCACAGAATAACGCTAAAACCTCCTCTTTAGCATATCTTTCAATTATTCTTACGAAAAAAACAGAAAAAAGCTTTCAAGATTGCTGCTAGAATTGCCGTGCTAATCTTCGTACTGCGTATTCAACACCAACAATCAGCACAATCAACAACTCTTTTTTTGGCCCGTCTAGCTGCTATGCGGACAATATTTTTATTCCTTCGAAAAGCAAATCTGAAGAATTTATGAATCTGTGTAATTGCCATGTACTTATTTCTAACTGTTCATTACTGAATGCTGGAAAAATCGCGTAAATGTATCAAAACATTTTCAATGGTCGATGGCTGTAGGATTATTAAGTATTTTGCCTTCACAATTATTAAAAGAATACAATGACTGCTTAGCCATTACTAGTTACTAGTAAGAAATTTAATAAATCCTCTTAAAAAAAACTGGCTCTAAACAAAAATATCAATCAAAAATTATACATACCTGCCAAGTTTTACGGAGTAAAAAATTTGTGTTTAATTTCAATTTAATGCTTCATTTGTCTTTTTGTCGCTCCAAATATCACTTTCACACTAAATTGCCATTCAAGTATGTATGTATGTAAACGTGTAACTAAAAATAGCACACTTTAATCATAGTTTGCTTGGCATAATCTAAGTCATAAATCAGATTCGTGTCATTAATTTCAAAATGTCAAACAACTGGAAATGCAATCCACACAAAAGCGCCAACATAGCCATAGAATAGCAACAACAAATACACCTACTATTCATACAAAGTTGCAAAAGTATATCTTAGTATGTAGCATTTATACATATATACGTATGTATGTATATATTCAACATCATTGCCAACACACTTGCGGCTGCTGTTGATGCATGAGGTGTCAATTGCGGGTGTCAAATGTTGCTGTCAACACGCCAACCAACAGCTAGCAGCCAACAGCTCTAACAGTCAAGCGTAACAGCGTCTCGCGTTGCGCTGCGCTGCGCCATCGTTCTGCCATTGCAGCTGCATTCTGCATTGTTGAAAATCATAACTGATTACATACAATTTGCAGTGGTAAAGTGAAAAATAAAAATTAAAATTAAATTGTAAAACAAATATTGAGCACATTTTTTTTGCTGCAGTTTTCAGTATTTATTATATGTACTTAGGTGACTATGAAAAGCACGTATATGTAAACATATGTTCGTACATATGTGCACGCTTTCGCAATGATGAAAAAAATATTTATTGCAGCGCGCAAGAATAATGAAAATTGTAATTAAAATTAACTGATGAATGCAGTGTATTTATTTGGCGCGCTCGGCGAAGTCGCGAGCGATCGCGGCTAAGTGGCAAGCAGCGAGTTAGCAACTGGTTTATTTTTATCATTCTTTTCTATATAAATATGTACACTGGCGGTGGAAATAATGGACTCGTCGTACTTTAAGAATTTTGGCTATATTTATTTAGTTTATTTTATGTTTAATATTTTTTTATAAAAGCCTGGCTAGCTGTACAACAAACACCATATGAATCGTCTTTTCAAACTTTATACAAAAATTATAAAAATTTTACAAATTTTCACCAAATTTTTAAACTTTCTATTCAAAAATGTAAAATGCAAGTTTCAATTGGCTACTAAATACCGCTGATTTTTGATATTTTTTTTGCTGCCGGTGTCATGAATTTTATGTGGAAGAGAATGCCTAGCATCGTCAACAAAAAAAAAAATTGTCAAAAATCAAATCTAGCCACTTGAAACTTGCACTAAAATTTGAATCAAAAATTCTAAATAAAACGTTTAAAAATTTGGTGAAAATTTTTAGAATTTTTATAATTTCTGTATAAAGTTTGAAAAGGGGATTTATATGGTGTTTGCTATATAGCTAGCCAGCCTTTTATAAAAAAAAATATTAAACATAAAATAAACTAAATAAATATAGCCAAAACTCTTCAAAGTAAGGCGAGTCTATTATTTCTGCCGCCAGTGTATGTATGTATGTAGGTATTTTTAGTGTCGTTTTTCCTTTTGCCCAATATGTATTTACGTGCTTTTGTGGGCTATTGTTTTTCCTCTTTTTCCCCCTCTCTCTCTCTGTGTTGACACGGTAGCTGGCATGCCGAGCTGTCTAGCCCTTCTGTCTGGCGTCGTGCACGCCACGCTTGAGCAAGGCGTCTCAAGGCCTTTGCATTCACTCGCCCACAAAGTTGCAAACAAATAGGCGACGGTTAGACGAGATGTTCGCTTGGTAACAAACACGCAACACGCTACAATGGCTAAGCGAAAGATTAACAACAATGTAACAGTGCAAGAGTGTTGTTTGCAGCAAATGCTAAATGATATAGATATATATTTTTTGTAATCGTTGTAGGTTTTTGCGCAATTTGTACATTTGTCATAAATGTCTGCTTTAATGGTGCGATTAGCGACAATGTTGCACGTCGATTAAGTCAATGAGGCAAATTAATGTTTCCTTTATAAAAAACAAAAAAAAAATAAATAAATGCTTACACCTGAGAAATATATATGTGGACCTATTCAGGTTACCGATATCGACTGAGTAAAATTTTTTTAATTCAATTTGAGTACTGCTGCGCGAATGAATTGAAATGGAGTTCTACTATTAAGGGAAACCCGAAAACCAAATCTTAAAATTTTTTTACTTATACTGGATTTTCACTGAACATTTAAATGACGAAAATTTTTTGCCATTTTAAAAATGCCATGAGTAACGAATTTAATGACAGATTTTCTAATTTTTTAATGCACAAATTTGTCATTAAATTGCATGTCATTTGATGCCTAATGAAAATGCGGCATTAGAATTTATTTTATTTCTAAAAAATATATATTTTTTTTTTTAAATAACACAAAAACAAAATAATATAGTATTAAGCATGAAAAAAATGCCAAGTTACTTTCTTTGTACATACGTAAGTATATATCTAACAACTTTCCTTTCGTTTTACTTTTTACCTTTGCAGGTCGTATATTATTGATTGCAGTTGGCATTTCTTTGGGCGTCGCATGCATCAGTGTTTTGATTGTTGTCATAAATTGTTATCGTGTCACGGCGCTAAAACGTCGTGCCACTGTCGCTCTAACATTACCAATTCCACTGTTGCCCGAAGATCAAACACTTCTGCACACTGAGCCGGACAATCCTGTACCCGTAAGTTGAACTAAATATGAAAATTAAGGAATATATAATATTACACCGTGCAATAAAAATGAAAAAAATAAATTAAAAAAAATACGAAACAGCCAATTTGCTCTCGAAGCTATGGGTCAAAAATAGTAAAACTGCGTTTTTTTAGTTTTTTTCTCTGATGTCAGTACTTTGAGATTACAAAGAGATGCTTAATTCAAAAAATTATGGGTACCAAATTAAAGAGAAAATCTGTAGAATAAAAAAATTAAGCTTTTTAGTTCTTCTATTTTCTTAATACCAGAGTTTTTGTTTATATATATTGGAAATTTTATATCATATTTGATAGCCAAATGCTGCTATTTTTAACAAAAAAAATATAAAAAAACTAAATAAAATAAAAAACAGTAAAAAAAAAATAAAATTTTAATATTTCGTTCAAAAAATAACAAATAAAATAAAATAAAAAACAGTAAAAAAATAAAGTTTTAATATTTCGTTCAAAAAGAACGCATAATTTTCGTCTTTCATCACCTCAATACATACACACATATTATACCACGTCAATGAAAGAATAAAAAATTCTGAAATGCGACCGGAATAAGACTCAAAATTTAGCATTTAGTATAGTAATGATCCTCCATAAATCTGCACTTTCTAGGACAATCGTAAGAGGTCCCGCGCCGAGTATTTAGTTTTCCGGTATGTATGAATGTGTGTCATCTTAATAGTATGATTGAAAAAACTTCAAATATCATCAAAAGCATCAAAGTCTTACACCCGTTTTATTAATCTTGAAACCAAACCAACCATAACCAAACTAAGTAACAAGAAAACGCTATTTCTTGTTATCCAATTCACTTTACCTGTTTATTCGTAAAACGTACGCTCTGCAATAATAAGAAAAGCTTTTACCCTGCCTAATGGCCTATAAAATATCTCCGACTATCTTATATAGTTAAAGTACAGTTAAAGCCAGAACAGTTACTAAAATGCTACTTGACCATAAATTTAATGCATATTATTTATCAACAATAGTCATACGCAATACCTTTTAAGCACGTATATGCTTTTGCAGTGCTGGCCACCTAAATAGCGCTCCTTTTTGATCTTCAGTATTGACAGTTTTCCTTTTGTTTATTTAATTTCAATACTTTTTCTTTTATATAGCATATTCTATAGCAAAAATAACGTAAGACCAACTTTCAAATTTTCTAAAAAATTTATAAGAATTCAACAAATTTTCAACAAAATTTGCAAACTTGAAAAAAATTTAGATTTTTTTATGGAATTTTAGAATACGTTCAATTTTATTATAATAAGTTGAGAGTTTCAAGTTTTTAAAAAAGTTTAAAATTTTTATGAAAGTTTGTTGAATTATCATAACTTGTATAAAGTTTGAAAATCGTATTTACTTAGTTTTCGTTGCAGAATATGCTATAGTTTTATTAAAAAAAAAATATTCGAAACTATTCAAATTGCTGGCACTGTATATTTACTTGAATGGGTGCGCGTGACTTGGAAAATTCATAAATACATACATATAACGGGTGATTTTTTTGAGGTTAGGATTTTCATGCATTAGTATTTGACAGATCACGTGGGATTTCAGACATGGTGTCAAAGAGAAAGATGCTCAGTATGCTTTGACATTTCATCATGAATAGACTTACTAACGAGCAACGCTTGCAAATCATTGAATTTTATTACCAAAATCAGTGTTCGGTTCGAAATGTGTTTCGCAAACCCAATTGCTGCGAACGGCGACGAATCGACATTTCACGGTCTTCAGCAACACTCTCAGAAACAGACGCAATATTCTCTTCTGTACGCACTGTACGCATTCGTGTGGTTGGTTTAATGTCCAATAAAGTAAACTGAGTGCGAAACTTGGTCACAATCGCATTAATTGTTTGCTCACTTGGTCGATTATGTAGACCATAAATCGGACGTAAAGCGAACCGAACACTGATTTTGGTAATAAAATTCAATGATTTGCAAGCGTTGCTCGTTAGTAAGTCTATTCATGATGAAATGTCAAAGCATACTGAGCATCTTTCTCTTTGACACCATGTCTGAAATCCCACGTGATCTGTCAAATACTAATGCATGAAAATCCTAACCTCAAAAAAATCACCCGTTATATGTATGTACATACTTAATATTTGCCCACAACTGTCGCTACAATAACAATTGGAATTATAATAGCAAAGTGCAATTCTTAGTCAAATTTGGCAAACAATAAAATTTTAATGTTTCAATTTCCTCTTTTGTTCTACGTTAATGGCTTTATTCACAGACAAACGAGCAAGAGAGAGAAGAAGATCAACAAAAAAAAAATTAAAAAAAAAAACATTTGCATAGCGCGACTGTGACAGTGACTGTTTTTTGTGCGTCAGCGCTCCTTTGCTAAGTGAATTGGAAAATGTGTTAGACCGAAATGATGGGATGCTCAAAGGGATGCCCAGACATGGATTACATTTGTGACTACGAAATGTATACCTACATACATACCTATGTACGATCAAATGTACATACATATGTTTGTGCGTTTAAGGTGAACTCTATGCAAATAAGCATTCTTTAGGGCCATTAACTGTATGCTTGGATATGAAATTATGCTTGTGCATACATAAGTATGTACGTGCATTTGTAGGTTTCCTTCTTAGTTTAAGGACATTCAGTGAAATGGAAAATTTTTGTCTGCATATCTGCAACTTGAATCAAACAAACAGTCAAGCATGCCTACTTTTATATGTTTCTATGCCGTCTATTGCCGTTATAATCCACCTACATATGTATAAGTTGACATTAATATTTATGCATTTACATACATACATATGTACATGTATGAACACTTGTTAAGTGTTTGCCAAATACATATTACGTACATATGTAAGTGTCCTTTAATTGTTTACTTTGGTGTGTTTATTATGGCGTCTATACGCCTACATAGATATATACAATACATAAATATGTATGTACATATGTACATAGGCATGCATGTTTGTTTGCTGTCTGGATATTTGTGCAAATTGCAAACTCGTGGTATGCTCTATTTTCTACGAAACAACGCCTTTAAAAGCCTTTTATTAATGAATTTATGCGTCTGCCCTTGCGTTTGACACACATAGATAACATGCTGCGGGCACCATTTTAACCTATACATAGATTGCACAAGTACATGTTCATATATATATGTATGAGCATGCGTATGTAATTCGATTAGATAAATATGTATTTTGTAAATGTCTTCTTTGCTGTGTTTGTCATTAATTACGTATACGAAAAGTTTTAATATGCATCTGCATTAGTCACGGTCAAAGCACATTCCCCGGAAGAAGCTTTTTAAAGCTTTATATAGATTTTATATGAGCGAGATCTTCACTGATCTACATAAACATACACATAAGACTTATGTATCTTCATAAGTAATAGGCAAAGAGAGCTTTTACGATTTGCACGAATATACAAAATACATATATGTACATACATATATAGAAAGCCCAAAAACCTCTGTCCGCATCCAAGGCAGTGCCTATCACTGATCTACAGCGGTCATGGGCAAGACATATCTCCCAGTTAAAGCTTCAAAAGCGTTCTGTATATTATAAAAAGCTTAAAAAAGTTCAGCATAAGTGCAAAGCGATGCCCACCACAAATCTACACACATATATCAGCGGAATAGTTAAAAAGCTTTTTTCCAACTGATTCATAATATGAGAACATCATTGAAAGCTTTTACTAAAGAAAGCTCTAAAACTTTTCTTCCCAGGACTTTATTTTGGTTACATGTAGCAGTGGTAGGCAAAGAGATTATTTACTCCACTCTCGTGTTTTGCAAAATATGTGTATAGAAAGCTCAGGGTAAAAGAGCTCCCTCTGATCTCTACTATTTGACATAAAAATTAAAACTGCATAAGGCTTTATTATTCGTAGAGAGCTTTACACCTCAGCCAGCAGAATGATCACTGAAAGCTTTTACAAGCAAAGGTTTACAATTTTTTTCCGAGTGCTTTTTGGTTAAATAAAGCTGTGATGAGTAAATAGAGCCTTTATTCTACTCGCATTTATTGCAAAAAAAAAATATATATATATATATATATAGAAAGCTGAGTGTAAATGCTTCATATGGTCGCTGCTATTTTACCTAAACATCAGAATTGCAGAATTCTTTGTTATTCATAAAGAGCTTTCCATCTAACCCATCATGATATAAAAGTATAGAGAGTTAAAACAAAACTGTCACTCGTGGCTCAACTGTGGTATGAACAGTTCTTCTACAGCAGCGTGAACTGAAAAAACAGCTTTTCGACTTATTACTTAGCTATTTCATTTTAATAACTTTTAATGCTTTCAAAATGGCTAATTGCGTATTTTCCAAGGCGCTCGTAAAGAGATTTTGTTTTTAATCTGCTGCAGCAGCTGCAAATTGCCAGCCTTTTCCATACTTCAACCTGGTTTCTTTCGAAGCTGCGGCTGGCCTTCTACATTTTACTTACTTACTTATCTCCTGGATTTTTGGCCTTGAATCGTGGTGGGAATTCCTTCACCCACTGTCGGCTACTACCGCTTCGGCTTGTCTTACGTGTGCGTCTCGCCGACCAAATTCTCGACTTCCTACCCTATCACGGCTCGCAAGCTTTGGCTAATGACCAGCTCGGATCTGAATTACTATTGGACTTGCTCTGTCGCTCTTTGCTTCCGGCAGTTTTCTTGTCTGACTTTTGCTTCGCAGTGTAATAAATATGCTGCATTATTCATGCTCAAGGCCTGAGTCGTCTCTTTTCTCCTCGTCCAATTTTTTGTGTTTACATATATTTTTGTTTACTTAGGTATTAATATTGCTTGTGCGTACAACTAACTGTTCGTTAATTAGGACCCAATGATATAAAATTTATAGTTCAAAAGGGAAATTACCACACTTACTTACGGATGCGTCACCACTCCGTTCAAATATCTACAACAGAAGATGTGGCACTTTACTTAGTCTAAAATGTTCTTAAAATGTACGTACAAACACC